CCATTGGTCTCAGCCCATCGGTTCAGCCTGGAAAAAAAAAAGCAACCAGCTTGGAGATCCTACACACATAAATCCAACTCAGGTCAATGTCTGTATCACCAAAATGGTCAAGTGTATGCAGTCCGACAAAAGAGATGTTGTGGACGTGTGGCAAGTTTATGGAGCTGTCAGTTGCAAGGTGAGAGCATTTTTGGTGCAGGTCTGACCAAAGTGTTTTTCATGCAAAGACACTGAGAAAGTGAATGCACCTATTATCTTACTTTGGTATGTGATCAGGGAATTTCTAGTACCGTAGTATTTGAAAGTGTAACAAACTATTACATATTAGACTGATGTGTAAGCACATCACTGCCTTTTCCTGCACGCTTCATGCATTTTTTCAGTAACTATTTACGGGACTTAAATTTCCAGCAGTAGCTACATTGTATGTATTTTTCCAAATTTCTATTGTTTTAAATGAAATAAAAGTAATTTCATGCAGTCTTTGCGTATAGAGACTAAGAAATGGTGGTGCTAACACCAAGTTTCTTTCCAGCTGTTTAAGCAATGTGTTCAATAATGATTAGAAACTGAATTTCTGAATGAGCCTTCTGCAAGTGTCTTTACATGAGCGTTTTTATTTAATATTCCTACCAAATGAAAGTTTAAGCTACTTTATTCTATTACAACGTTTTGAATCCACAAATACTGTTTGTTTGGCTGACGTAGAACTGTTGATACAGAATCTGGTGAAAGAAGCTGGTTGTCTAATCATTTTGAATGTTTTTGTATGTGACAATGGTTTCCATTGTGTAATACTGAAAATTAGGGAATATTGACTAAATAGGTCAATAATAATTATGAAATACATTAGTGTTTGTGTTTTCTGTAATTGATGCAGTCAACATTTTTGGTTCTGAGTGATGCTTGGGAAGCACACTGTATTATCACAGTATTTGTAACTGCCAGTGTTTTAAGAGGAGAAAGACCTAATAAAGTGGATCATGGTAATGTAATTATTTACAAGAGGTGGGTACTCATCTCTGAAGGAAGCCAACCTAAGTACTGCACTTCTGAAGACTGGATTATTCCCACCATCCACGCTGGTAGGATTACATGGATGCGCAGCTTCCTGCTCTCGGAGGGACGAGTTTCTGGGTCATCCTGGGGAGAGGATGGCCTTGCATAAGAGGAGAGCCCTGGTGTGGTTGTGCACCGCTGAGCTGACACGCAGAGGGCCCGGACAGTGGCTCTGCTGCACGTGGCTGCCGTGCGAAAGCTGCCGTGGGGCCACAGTGGCCGTTAATAGCAGGCTTGAATCCGTTAAGCGGATGTTGTAGAAGTAACGGTGTTAATTAGACTGTCACTGAGTGGGTTTATGTAATGGTTGTAATGTTGCAGCTATGCAGTAAGTCCTTGGCTTGCTGATCTGCTGTTTTCTTGCTCAGGAGGCATTTAGCTCAGACTGCATCGCTAGCCCTACTGTGGGAAGGGCTGCAGAAATGGGAAAGGGACTTTGTTTTGGAAGTATTTGTCAGTAAGAACGTTTGAAAAATTTTAGTGTCATTTTTTAACTACTTGTATTTGATTTTTTAACATCTTAATTCTGACTTGAGGGAGATACTTTGGAATAACTTCTTGACCTCGTTTTTTCAAGTGTGACGTAGAGGGATCTGCACCAAGCGTAACTCTCAGTTTGAATCTCCTGACCAATGATCCTCCGCTCCAAGATACCGTGGTCCATCGCTGCATGACTTCCGTTGACCCTGCCATGCTGATGTCCCGCAGTGCTGAGCCGCTGGATGATGCTGTGTATCACGGACCCTACACATTTCCTTTCATTCCTCCTTCAGATTCATTCGACTTGTGTTACTACACTTCCCAGGTAATAACATCCCTGTCCTCCTTGTTTTCCAGTCTTCAAACAGGAATAAAAATACCTGTGTTGTTGAATGTGTCTGAATGAGTTTCAGTCCGATACAGGCATGTAAAATGTTTTTCTATATAATAAACTGCTTGAAAGGCACTTCAGGACTTGAGTCATCTGAGTCACATTTGTTCTTACTTTCAATGAACCACTTAGATGTCTGAATTAGACTAAATGAATCCAGGCTGAGATATCAAGTGCATGTACTGCAAATCTATGTACCACAAGCAGCCTGAAGAGTTTGGCATATACTGTTTAAAACCACTCAGCAATTAATGTGTTTGTTGTGTTTTGAAGTACTTTAGCAATTAAAACTGTGTATAACAGTCTATAACATCTTATGATGATGGTATTAATTTGTCTTGATAATGAATACAGTTTTTTCTAGGTTCCTGTTCCACCAATTTTGGGATGTTACTAACTCATTGAAGAGGGATCACAGTTAAAAATAACAGTTAATGTAAAGCTTCGTGAAAGCATAAAGAATTCTTTTGAGTACTGTGAAGCTCGTATACCTTTTCTCAACAGGTGATCTTCCTGAAATGAACTTGTCAAGAGTCAACAGATTATGCTCCATTAGAGTACTACCAGTGGACACCGACCTTGCGAATGTTGGGAAAGGCTCCTTGGAATTCTTGTTCTTTCCAGAATACAGAATTGCACCAGAATATTTGGTAACGTTCTGAATTCCTGATTCCCTGTAGTACTTTTTCACATGAAACTCTGCCACAGTCCTCTAGTGGATTAAGTCTCGAGATCACTTCCAACCCAGGGTTACCTGTTCCTTAAGACTTCTAATCCTAGCTACAGATCAGCTTATCAAAAATATAGTTATTTAAAATTAAAACGATAGTTTTCGTTGAAGCCTCTCTGACGACTGCCATGACTCCGCTGTCACATAATTATCATGAAAATTTGAAGATGAAATGACGCGAAGTTGCTGATGCTGATCATAGTGTTAGTAAAACGCTATCAGTGAACAGTAAAATACCAACAGCTTTTTTATGATTACTAGGTTGAGACCACAGTGGTTTCTTCCTGCTCTGTATTTTCTCTCCATCAATTAGCAGTGTGCTCAGGTAGGTATGATTCGTCTGTAGTCACATAAATAACGACTTTTAGCATTTTGTTGCTTTCTTTAACAAACTGGGTGTTAACGAATACTGAGGGATGCTCATTCCAATGGCTTTATTTCTCCTCTGTCAGACTGTAGGGGCCCAGTCACATCATTAGAGTACGAAGTTAGTTATGGCCGGCTGGATTTGTCACGAGAGAAGAGCCTACTGGTTTGGATCATCGGTAAGCAGACCCCCCTGTGCTGCTTCCTCCTCCAGTCAGTTATGTATAGTGTGGCACAGCTGTATAATTTCTTATAAATGCTGTTTCTGGCTTTGGGACAGAAGTTCCCTAAATCTTTGGAAGTTTCCCTGACTGGAACCGTGTCTTTTGGCACTGCAGGCAAAAAGCACCCAACTGAGTATGTTTGCACTGGGAACACTGCTTATGTAAAATTAAGTCGCAGTCTGTGAAAAGGGGCCTTAGTATTCCTTTTTTGTTATCTTAAATTGGCAACGAAGATACATTGATTTTAAATCGGACACAATTATTGGACTCTTTGTTCTCAGCATGGAGTTTTCTGTTTTCTCGCTTCCAGGATTGGACATCCTGTCATTTTGGAGTCCGCTTGCACACCAAGACCACGTACCACAGATGGCCAGTACTTGTGCAGCAAGAATGACAGTATGGATCTGATCCTGTTTTCCCTCTTTCTGTAGCTGTATTCTAGGATGCCACATTTCACACTTACTGGATGTTATGTAGTCCAGCATCGTATTCAGATCTTTGCACGGGGAAAACCCAAAATTACCACATGAGTTGCTAAAAATGTCATTTATTTAACTGAAACTGCCTATTGAAGTTATAAAGTGGATGTCAGTGACTTAAGTTACCTAGCTAAAGTTGGACAAAACATTTTCCTGGATTGCTTGGGACATCCCAGAAATTTTATTTTCTGATCTGTATTTTTTTTTTGACTTGTGATGCTTAATGCATCCCTGAAGTAGGGACTGACAGCTCCCTTTCAGATGAAAGCTCTTACAACTCAGTTACAAAGTCAGGCAGGGAATGACCTCTTGGTTAGGACATTTTTGTTAGAGATGTGATATGTGGATTTGCAATACCCAGGCACAGAACTCTGCTCCAGTGTGCAAGGTGAGACTTGCCATCAGCATCATCATGCCAACCTGTGGCTCTACATTGAATCTGTGGAGCAGAAACCAAATCTGCTTATTTTTGCATTAACACATGGCTACTTCCAAGTCTGCACAAAAAAAGACACTCATTTGGAACACAGTAGGCACTCATTAAATCTGAGCGGTACTGTCTAATGGAAGGATTTCGACTTGTTGCTGTCTGTCTGTTGTAACTTCTGTCAGTCACGTTAGAAGTCTGTAAATGCCTTTTGAAAACAGCGATCTACGATGTTAATTTTGTGACGGGTCACATTTGGTCCTAAATTGTAATACAAAAAAGCAGCATTTTCTTACCCTATGTTTTATGTCGAGTATGCAATTTATATTCATTGAACAAAATCCAAGCCATCCACCTGCTTTTGACTTAACCTCTGTTGGAATTTTAAGCTCATGACTGATACATTAGTAAAGGTAATTGAAGCTGAGACTTTAAATGTCTCATTATCAGAAACGATTTTCAAATAATAATAAGAGTCTTACAGTTTAAAGAGGCCGTTATACCTTTTCTGTAAACTAGTAAGGATGGATTAGCAGTCTCTTAACTTGGATGAAGAAATGTCTGATTGTAAGGTACCTTGTAATGCTTACTTTTCTTGGCCTTTTGAATTCTTTCTAGCTCAAGAACTGATTTCTTCTGATTACTACATCTGGAATTCCAAAAGCACCAGCACCTAGTGTGTCCAAAGCCTTATTTCACTAATTTGCTTGTCAATTATTTTTGTATTTAAACAAAACAGGCAGCTAATGAGAGTAATATAATGATACAGTGAAAATAAATACTCTCCAGCACTTGTACTTTGTATGTTTGCTTAAAAACTTCTGTTGAGGAAAAACAATAGAGGTCACTTCTCATAAAAAATGGGTTTTACATTGTTTAGTCCTGGATAGCAGCATACAGAAGACAATTCAGAATGTACTTGCTGTGGCCGTTTTTACTTTCCCTTCTAACATTAGCTGGTACCAAATTAGTACTGAGTGATACCAATGCAGACTGCTACGACTGGGAATGTCTTCTGGGAGGGCTCCCAGTTGCTTCTCTGGTTTTTGTAAACCAAAGAGCTCATGTGACATGAAAGCTTTCAGTGTCTTGTTCCTGTCATGAAGTCACCAGAATTTGGATTGGACCCCAGATTAACGGGACAGTTAAAAGCAAGAATTCTGTTGTTTTCATGAGATGTGTACAAAATACATATGAGTCAATACAGGAATTTTTTAAGAGAGGGAAGAGAGAGAAAATGGCATGAGAGGTGCTTCTCAAAGGAGATCATACAGGGGTCTACTCTGCCCTGGTGAGACCACATCTGGAATATTGTGTCCAGTTCTGGGCCCTCAGTTCAAGAAGGACAGGAACTGCTGGAGAGAGTCCAGCGTAGGGCTGCAAAGATGATCAAGGGAGTGGAGCATCTCCCTTATGAGGAGCGGCTGAGGGAGCTGGGGCTCTTCAGTTTGCAGAAGAGGAGACTGAGGGGAGACCTCATTCATGGTTATAAATATTTAAAGGGTGAGTGTCACGAGGATGGAGCCAGGCTCTTCTCAGTGACAAACAATGATAGGACAAGGGGTAACGGACACAAACTGGAACACAGGAGGTTCCACTTCAATTTGAGCAGAAACTTCTTCTCAGTGAGGGTGACAGAGCCCTGGCCCAGGCTGCCCAGAGAGGTTGTGGAGTCTCCTTCTCTGCAGACATTCAAAACCCGCCTGGACGCCTTCCTGTGTAACCTCATCTGGGTGTTCCTGCTCCGGCAGGGGGATTGGACTGGATGAGCTTTGGAGGTCCCTTCCAATCCCTGACGTTCTGGGATTCTGTGATTCTTTATAGCCCCTGTGAGCAGAAGCAGTGAGTTCCCTTTCATGGGAACTGCACTGCTCTGATAGCCAACATTCGTGAGCATCCAAAGCTGTGAACCTAGTCCTTCGAATCACAAGACTAGCTCTGAGCAGGCAAAACCAACTAAGTTTGCTGGAGGATCCAAAAAAAAACATCACTGAGCCATTTTCCTGGAAAAATAGGCAGAAAAGGAAAGAACTCTGTTGAGAGAGGCAGACCTCTGCTTTTGAGAAGAGAATTGGTATCTGCAGGAACACAGGAAATGGACTTTCAGAGAGTTATCAGGAATTGAGCAAATTCTGAACGGCTGGTGAAAAACTGAGAGAACCTGGAGAGCAGCACAAAAGAGGGGAAGAATGCCGCCTAATAACGGAGCGTGCCGGCTGCTCCTGCCCTACCTCGTGTTTAACTGTACGCTGTGTGATAAGTAAGGTTAGTGATTATGTGAGGAGAAAAGTTTCAAGCTGTAATTTATAAAATGCTTAGATTCAGACAGCAATCTAATGGGCTGGTTAAAGGTTCTAAAGGGCAGGTTAATTCCTGTGAAATAGGCCGTTCAGCTGACACTGCTATGCAAACTGGTAAAACAGAGCTGTGCTCTGACCCATTTCACACAGGTGATGTGTCCACTTTTGACCATCAGGCAGAAGGGCAATGAATGATTTTGCCCCAAATCCAGCCCCTACCTGTTGCGGTCATCCCACACCTGGACACCATGATGTTAGTGGGGAGAGGGGGTCTCCCTGTTGGAAGGGTTGAGGTCATGTTCTGCGTGCTGGGCATTTCAGTGTGCGGTGTTTGCTTTCCACCTACCCATGAGAACGATGGGAGCTGTGTTTTGCACAGCAGCACCATGGACGGATGGCTTTTCTTCTTCGCAGCACTTCCACATGAGGTGCTATGAAACAGTGGGACTGTCAAAACTCACAGCGCGTTAGAAGAGAACCCCCTTGCACTAAATAGCAGGGGGTCCTTCCCAAATAGTGTTCCTTTTTGTTTCCTGGTGTTACTATGAGTTTCTTATTCTTTTATTAAATCTGTTTTCACTGCAACCCATGGGTCTCCTTTCCTTGTCCCAATTCCCTTCCTTGAGTGGGGAGAGGTCATCAGGTGATAGAACAACAGCGTAAATGAAAATACCCCTAAACCTCTGGATTATAACTCTAGCATGCTCGAACAATTCTGCTGTTTCTGTACATCCTCTGCCCATGTTTCCTGTTTTAAGAGGGAGAAAAAGTGCATCAAAAACTGAATGGGGAAGATGTGATTCAGAGCTCACGTGGGTCTGAGGACTCCACGGCAAAGGTGGCGTCTGACAGTGGTTCTGGTGGGCTCTAGAGGTGATTAGGCCCAGTGTCAGTGGTATTCCTTTAGATCTTCAAAAAAACCCAACCTAATACAACAGTTTCTTTAAATATTCTTTGCATTAAAGGAAAAAATTCTCTTTGCTGTTTCTTCTACAAGAGTGCTTGCTGCTCAAAGTGCTTATATTTATAATTTCAGCACAGGTACGGACTGATGAGATCTGTGCAGACAGCTTTGCTCAGACTTTCAAAAGAGGTGGCCAAGGAATTATCCAAACTTAGTATTGCATTTCAAAGGGCTGGAAGAAAACTACCATGCAGAGAACTGAAAATAATAAACATAAGGACTTCAAGAAATCCTGGGTTGTCAGCCTGACATTTTTCCCCAGCACAATAATGGGTGTAAGTCAGTACGATGTTAACGTAGAACTCACTTCCTTAATAAAATGAATTTGTTTCGTTTCATTAAAATTGAGGGGTAACGTAAGTAATGCCAATTAACGTGAATGTAAAGCAAATATACACTGGCAAACCTTTTAGATGAGACTGCACATTTAGTTGGCAAAAAGAACCGATGTAACAGACCTCTAAGCAATTAAAAGAATGCAAAATCCCTGTGTAACCCACTAAACACAGTAAAAGCTGGCTGACATTTCCAAATGCAGTGGCAGTGCAGAACCACTCTCACACACGCTTCGGAGCCCGCCTGTGCGATTTAACGCTTGGTGGAAGGTGTGGAAGGAAAATGGGGAATTTGCACTGGTGGAGTTCACAGAGGGTGCAGCAGCTGAGAAGTAGCAACTTCTGAAGGTGCTGAAGCCCATGTTCAAACCCTGATGGTTTGAATGTCTCAAGAAAAAAAAGGGACTTTGGTGTTTTTCCAGTTTTCTGGATGCCCTTTCCTCCCACCGTGGTCCCAGAGTCTTTGGTGACAGCACCAAGATCCACTTCCTCAAGTACTTTGGGATAAATCCTGTTACTTCAGCCTGATTGCAAGCAGCCACTTTTTCTACATAATTTAGCCCTTCTCTGCATTTTTATCCTGCTTTTACCAGCGTTAACTGCTTTGGCCATTTGATCTCAAGTAAACACTGAAACAACAAGGCATGAAACATTCATCAGCACTCGTACTCTATTAATTCACGCTGTCCTGGAAATTTGCCACATTTTGTCCTATTTTGTGCAAGCCCCGCTGAGTATTACATGAGCAAACTCGTGTTTGCCCTTCACTACTTTTGCTGTCTCCTTCACCACCACCTTTTCTCTGCTATCCTTTAGAGGATGGCAACACCTTACAAAATACCTGCTCCCCTGGGCAGCCTTGTGCCTTTGACTTACCTCCTGTGGGCTCCCACTTGCCAACTTGCTGAACGTGCTGAAATTTGATGTTACTCCCTCTCTTTTCCATGGCTGGAGCTCTCCAAGCTTTATTTTACTGTGACCATCTCCCGCATTACCTTCTGCTGTCCCATCGTCCGTTGGCTTCTCAGTCCTCAGGCTGGGTTCTGAACCTGGACCACGTCGTATCTGCAGCAAGAATTTACCAAATAGCATGGACAAAATACAAGGTATTTATATATATATATGTATATATCTATTATTGTTATCTCTATCACCAATAGCACCTTTTAGGGTGTAGAAAATCAAGCCCACCTGAAGCCATGTCCATCCTGAGAGCACCATGTCGAGAAATCCCTGCGGCCTTCAATCCTGAAGGAGCTATTTAGATGTCTGTGGGTCCCAGTTTGGGAAGCGCAGGCTTTTCTATAGCACCGTACAGCTATCGGTGGGAAGCCCACAGGGGCATGTTGGGGTCATTCCTAAACTCCGTTCCCTTCGTGGCACCCCAAGTTATTTAGGTCCAGGGAACAGAGAATAAAGCTTTAACTCCGAGTCTGACTCCCATTGACATCAGTAATAAAAATTCCTCGGGCACAAGTAGGACCCTGTATGGGCCCAGCGTTCACCACTTGGATAGGTGCACCTCCATGGTTATCTAAAATTTTCCTTCGTTATTCCCACTTAGCTCATTTTGCCCTGTGATGCAGCAATCTGCCCATTTTTAGAGGAAAAAGATGGTGATTCATGCAGGCGAGCAGGATCTGAGAGCAAACAGTCTCCTTTCTCCTAAAAATGGTATCCTAAAAATAAACTCTCTTGTGAGGAGAGTGGGACTAAAGCCGCTGGCTCCCTCCACGCGCACCCAGACCCAAAGGACCAGAGGTTCATTGCTCCCTGCAGCCCTTCCAGGGCACAGGACACCCAGCAGTGTCCCCACGAGGCCTTCAGGAGGAACCAGCATCCCTGGAGCTTGAGTGCTGGGCCATAAGAAGGTGCTGCTGACATGAGATGTCTGTAAGGGCAGCAGTCCCACCAGTCCATCCCAATTCAATGGGGCCAGAGAGGGGCTGGAGACCAGAGGAGCTGTGCTCTTCCCAGGGGTAGAGATGGCCCGTTATGCCCCAAACCTCACCCCTCTGCTCTCAGGGGCCCTGCAGGGCTCTCCCAAAATGCTTCCCATCCCAGACACGCCTGCTCAC